TTGAGTCTCTGGCCTACCAGGGTTTGGAGACAGGCTGTCGGGATGTGGTGTCCCATGCAGTCAAACAAGGAAAGGTAAAGAATCTGCATTCCCTGGAAATCAGCAAGAAGAATGGTTTATTGCGTCAACAAAAATAATCTGTTTGTGCAGATGTTTGACTTTTATAGAAATTAGTTCAAATTAAAGGACTGAAATGGTAATAGAAGGTTTTCTTGAGCAGTGAAGATGGTCAATTAATAGCTATTGGACTCAAAAGGTGCATTTGTACTGACTTAGACAAGTTAATGTCTTCACTTTGTTTTTCACAGATCGTTTACGTGTTCTCATCTGCCCTCAACCCTGGAAACAAAGGTACGCACTGGTCATAGACTGAGAAATCAATATGGACATGGATGAAGTAGTTATTGTCTTACATACATGACTATAATATATCACAACTCTTTTCATCTCTAATGTTTCTGGCATTTACAAGAAAAATCTTTTTTGTGGATGATAACATTTCCAAAAATATAAAATTGTTAAATATATATTTGAAATCACTATTGATTTGGCAAAAGTCAATTCAGTCTTGAATTCATACATTGACATCATGATTGAAGACACTTAGCTAGAGATGAATAATAATATTAACAGAATGGTTGAAAACACCATTTTACATTCCCAATTACATAATTTAAATGTTTTTATTCATTTAGTTGGTTTACTATAATAATGTCTATTGCCTGTATCATTCAAAGGATTTATTAAAAAAATTAATTTTCGTAAATGTCTCGTGTTGAAAAAAAACAAATGCCAACAATGGTTGCTTGTGTGTGGCTAAATCAAATATTTTTGTCTCGTCTTTTTCTCAGAGATGGGAGAGCATTTAGTCAAACACGGTGATGGAGTGAAGGATGTTGCATTCACAGTGCAGGACTGTGACTTCCTTGTGCAGGTAACAGGTTTTCTTTCAAACCTGCATTCACAGTTCTATTCTCACACATAATTAACATTACAATCTATCATATTTCCATTTACCATACATCCTCATAAACAGAAAGCCAGAGAGCGAGGTGCAATTATCGTGAAGGAGCCTTACACCCTGGAGGATAAGCATGGTAAAGTCAGACTGGCCGTGCTCCAAACGGTAAGGCACTAAATACAAATTTACATTCAGTAGTTATGACTCTCTATTTAGCACAAATGCCAGATGTATACTCTTGCTTTTGTTTGCTGCAGTATGGTGACACCACACACACGTTTGTGGAGAGAAGCGGATACACCGGGTTGTTCCTGCCAGGCTTCCAACCCTCTCTGTTCAAGGACCCTTCACTGGCTAGACTGTGAGTGCATACGAATGTTTAAAAGATAACAGAGGGCAGACTGACAGCAAAGTGACAGCGTGTTTATTTGCTTTTGCTTCCATTCCTCTATGCAGACCAAGTGGAAAACTGAACTTCATCGATCACGTTGTGGGAAACCAACCGGATAATGAGATGGTCCCAGTGGTGGATTGGTAATGGACTCAACTATTTCTTGTACACAGTTTAAAATATTGGCGGATCACGAGACATTAGGACCCTAGGAGCTAACATGTAGAGGGCCCCTACCTTTATAGGAATAAGAGCCACAGACTAAAAGAGACGTCTTTGGGGATCTCTTTGCAGTGGTTTTGAGTCTCTTTGTGATCATATCGTGTCCCTTTTCCAGTTGTTCTGTCTCCTAGTGGTCGTTTTGGGTCTATGTGGTCATTGTGTCTCTCGTTTTTTGTCTATTTTTGCATCCCTTTTTATTGTTGTGGACTCTTTTTGATGTTTTTGTATCTCTTATTTTGGGATAAATGTGTGTCTATTTATGGTCATTTGCTTCTCAATGGATGCCTTGCTTTTCTTTTTAGAGGTTTTGCGTCTCTTTATTTAGTGTTTTGGTATCTCATTTTTTATGTTTTGTGTCTTTGCATAGTATTTTATGTTTTTTGTCCTCATTGTATGTCCCTTTTGGGTTGTTTGTTTGTCAGTTTGTGGTAGTAATGGGTCTCTTAAAGTGCTTGCAGTAACTTCTAACAGATACTCAGGAGGCCTGTTCAGTAATGTGATAACAATATACCGGCTCTTCAGAGAGGAGGTGTCTTACATAACTCTTTTTGGGAAGGAGTCAGTCATCAGCATGACTTTGCAATTTTTTTTAAGCTGGCCTCCAGTTGTTCTCCACATCTGGATCTTGTTTTGACCCCATTATATAGGCATGCATGGGGCGGGGAAAGGCAGTTCTCAAAAACAGAGTGCTCATTGGTTGATCCTATAACAAGGGGTGTAACACAGACTGGAGGTTTTTAGATGTGAAGAATCATATGGAGCCGCTCATAAATCAAACTCCTGCTTGGCACTGTGAAGCTGCAACCTCATTCAGATCATAAGATGATAGTAGCATCAGCGGTGCACCCTAACATATACTGAAGTAGTTTAGTAGTTTAAAATTTAGAAGTTTAACTTTACTTGACTATTTCTATGTTATGCTACTTCTTCGTCTTCTAGGATCAGACTCACAAGTTACCCAGCAGCTTTTAAAGTCATAATGTAAAAACAAACTCCTCCTTTATCGGTAACAATGAAAAGTGTTGAACCAAACAAGCAGTCAATAATTATAATGAAATACTTTAACATACGTTATTCTGAAATGGGGTGTTTAAGAGTATTTCTACACTTTGGTATCACTATTTACTTAATTAACAGATCTGAGTACTTCCTCCACATAGGGTAACACCTGAGCAACAGTTCAGAAGTGAATGAGATTTGAACCTCTTCATCTCTGATTCTTAATCCATCAGGTATCAAAGAAACCTTCTGTTTCACCGCTTCTGGTCAGTGGATGACAAGCAGCTTCAGACAGAGTTCAGCGCCCTGCGCTCCATTGTTGTGGCGAACTACGAGGAGACTGTGAAGATGCCCATCAACGAGCCTGCCATGGGGAAGAGAAAGTCTCAGATCCAGGCATGTTTGGCTCACTTCAGTAAATATGTGGTCTTAAACTGTTTACTTGCACATGAATGATTCAATAACTTGTATTTCTCCAAATGTTCACTCACAGGAGTATGTGGAGTACTATGGAGGTCCAGGCGTGCAGCATATAGCCATGAACACGTCAGATATCATCACTGCGGTAAGATTAAAGGACACTTTGGCTTTGTGTGTGGATGCATCCCAAAAGAAGCAACAATAACTTTCTGATTAATTTCAATTTGCAGATTCGTAACCTAAAGGAGCGTGGGATGGAGTTTATGTACGTGCCAGACACGTACTACAAACAGCTGAGAGAGAACCTGAAACAATCAAAGGTCAAAGTCTCAGAGGACCTGGATGTCCTGCAGGTCAGAACAAAGTTATATTCAGCCAGTTTGGAGAACTGAATGAACTTTAGGATATAATGTTTGGTCCAGCCCAGGCAATGGTTATATATATTATGTCTGAAAATGATTGAATACCAGGGGTCAAAAAGCCTCATTCAACAATTAGTCCTCCTGACTATCTATAAACAACAGTAATCAGGGTGTGGGCAACAAAGATAGGAAATGGAAGAAGCTTGTTTTGTAAACATTGAAATTGAAACTTTTGCACAAGGGTGACATTTGAAATGTAATTTTGGATGGTGCTGCAAAGTGTCATTGAGCCTTCTCTAATATGTATGGCCATATTTATTTTTCTCATCTTCGTAGACTCAAAGCTGTGTGTCAACTATCCAGCCTTGTCAAAACAAAATGGATAAATGAATTACAATTCACAATGTGATCTTGTGATCTTACTCACATCAGGAGCTGAGGATCTTGGTGGACTTTGACGAAAACGGCTACTTACTTCAGATCTTCACCAAGCCAGTTCAGGATCGGCCCACTGTGTTCTTGGAGGTCATTCAGAGACACAACCACCAGGTGAGGGCGCCACTGGATAAACAACAACTTTACAAGGATGAAGAGAATATAAAGCACATATTTCTAGAATTGTTAGGGAATAGGATAAGGACCACATTTTCAGCCTACTGGTTAAAAATATGTATTTGACTTGTGAGTTAAAAGTCACAGGTATTTATTAAACTAAGTATTTTTTTAAGCCAATTCTGAAGTTTATCTCAGACCTTTTTCACTTGTGGCCCAAATTCTTTGTGCACAATATTTGTGTTAGAAAAAGGATTCATTAAGTTAGTTAATCAATAACTTAAACACATGATTTTCCCACAGGGCTTTGGTGCAGGAAACTTCAAGTCTCTGTTTGAAGCCATCGAAGCGGACCAGAATGCAAGAGGAAATCTGACGATCCTGACACCAAATGGAGTTTCAAAGAACATCTGATCCTAGTTTTATTAAAGTAGACATTTCAGTTTCAACATCTCTTTACTATGAGAGGCCATTTTTTGTTTAGAGTCCTGTACTTTAGTATTAAACTAGTATTGTGCAATAATTAACAAAGCATGTTTTTGGGACTTGCATGTTTTATTATAATTACATAATAACATTTATTTTATATGTGATAAGCATGTTTCAAAAAGTACTTCATTATAATCTCTCCGGATTTTCATGAAAGATCAACTAATTGTAACTTTATCACCATGTAAGGCTTTCTTTTTATCAAATGTTAACAAGGAAATCCATATAAGCTTGACTCAAGCAAAACACAATTAAGCTCTCATAAATGAAAACAAGTAATTTTATAGATTGTTATCATTTTGGCAATAACTTTCAAAGTAATTTCAATGTAACAGAAGAGCTTTGCATAATTGGAGCGGCCATCTTTCCCTTTATGTTGCAAGAGGAAACATTTGCAATGTGTGAAACCGTGGGTTGTGATGTGTTCATAAACTCTAATGTGCAAACAAATGAAGTGTTTTGTAATGTTTTACCAGACAATGAGGAAGTTGTAAGTGCTCCTGTACTCAAGCACAGATTATAAGGTTTAAATAAATCATTATTTACTGAGCAGTACCTCCACACGTCTGCAGAGCATTCATAAGTTCCTGTTTGGCGTTAAGGCAGTCATTGGTAGAATAAATCAGCATGAAAATAATCTTCAGGGTCTGTGTTTGGATTGTGCAGTACTTCAGGCAACTTTGGCTCTTGACATAAATCTGAACACTCCATTAGAGATTAGTTCAAGGTGCCCCGGCAACCATCTGCTCCACACAAGCAAGGGATCTTTGTGTCCTCGATGGGAAACTTGTAGTCGTACGTGATCTCTTCATTGACACCTATTGGCTGCCGGGAGTAAATCACTATCTTCTTCCTGGACTCCACAGAGATGATCTTTGCATAACAGTTAGGCTGCAAGACAAAAAAGGTATTTTGCATTAATGACCTTACTAAACAAATTGTTACCTTAAGTAGCAGGTTTCAACAAGATTACTTTAAGACTTTTTAAAGACACTATTACAATTCTTTTTGAAAATGATTTGCAGTTACCACAACAGAAGAGCACCATATTTAAGATATTTGTATTCCCTGTAATGACAGACCACTAACTTTTAGGCTTTTAAAGGACCAGCAGAAACCCTATGAACCCCTTTAAAGGGGCTCTATTGTGCTCATATTTAGGTTCATATTTCTATTGTGTGCCTCTACTGTGACATGTTTATGCTGTGATGTTCAAAAAGGTCTTTATTTTTCACATACTGTGCTACAGCACCTCTTTTCACCCTCTGTCTGATTGGTTTGCTGGCCGGGTCTGTTGTGATTGGTCAACTGCTTAGAGATGTCCTGTCCCTAAGCCTATCACGTACAATGTCTCGGAGTGCTAGCCAACAGAAGCGCCAGTGTTACATGGTGATGTCACTATTACAGAAGTAAACCAAGGAGTAAAATGGAGGCGTTTCAGGCAGGCGGTGATTGTGTGGGAGAGAAAACTCCCTTCGGAGGTAACCACAAAAACCGAAATAACAAACAACAGGAAAGGGAAAAACAAAAAAAGCATAATAGAGCCTCTTCAATCTTCAACCCCTTGGAGCTCTACTGGCTCGTACTCACATTGCAGCTGTGGTTGATAAACCTGGATAAGTTCCCATATTTAGTGGCATCAATGATGGTGTCCTGATCAACCCGGAACAAGTAGCTGCTGCCAATGCCCTCCTCCTCGTACCTCTGCTCCCTCATGTCAGCTATGATCTAAGAAGAGTGAAAACACATGAGCCTTTTCACGAGTGTTCTTAATCACCGTTACCGTCAGTCCTCACACTCCTGGAAAGTACCCAGAATAACAGGCGGGTCCCAGGGGGCCACTGGGCCGATTCAGGGGAAACAATCAGGGGAAAAGCGGCTCTCTTGAAAGCTCGACAGAGACATTTGTTACCAAGGGAGCATTATGAGCACATGACTAGCTAGTCTCACCTGTCTGATGATCTGGCCCACATACTCGATCACCATCTCATCTGCTGCGATCGGCTCCATCGCAAACAGGCCCCAATCATGAATATGACTCCGGCTGAAACGAATCCTCTTCCTTCGGAACTGATTTATTGAGCATGACAAAATGAGACACGTGCCATTCGTTAACACAGGCCACACATCTGCATTCAGGTCATTCAAACGACTTTGTTCTACCTCAGGTAAAAAAATATCTCAGGCGTAGACTTTTCATTGTTTTGATCAAAATCACATTAAAAAACACATTCACAAATAGTGTATTAAGTGAATTGGTGTGGTAGTAGCCATCTCAACTGTGGAAACATCTTGAAACATCTGCAAATACAATGAAACTATCTATATCAAAGTCCTACAACTGGTCAGGTACGGAAAAGTTGTACATACAATACGTTTCTCACTATTGTGGCACAGCCAGTACAAGATACTTTGTTTACTTTATATATATATAAATATTTATATATACATTTTATTTATTCACATGTCAATATAAGCATATGGGGAAATGCTGTTGTACTTACAAAGTTACATACACAAACAGTGCCTGATGAGATTTAATCAAATGTATATTCAACAGACCTCGGTTGTGACACTGATGAAAGACTATTCAATAGTTTTCTTTGCATTTAGACCAAAAGTATGCTAATACTTACTACAGGTATATTTTTATAAAATGATTTTGGCATCAAGGTTTTCCGAAGTGATTTTGTCTGAACCTTTAATGTACTTACCTTCAGCTGGTTGAACTTGACTAGGTCACTGTCACAGCTGAAAGAGGAGAGCAGGCGACGCTGTTCAGACCTGAAGTCAGATCCGGCTCGCAGTGAGGTCTGTTGCTGGGCCGGGATGCTCGTTCCCTGAAACACATGTTGGCATTAAGCATTGACTCTAATAAACTGGGCAATGAGATCATCCCAGTTTCCTCTGGTTGATACCTGAGTGCTTGTAGATGGAAGCTCAGGGTTCAGCTTTGTGTGGTTGAGGTATTTCATTTTGTCTTTCTTGCTGATTTTGTAGAATCCTTCAGAGCGAGCAGAGCCGGTCCTGTGATTGGGCCACCAGGATCTGTGCTCGTCCCTCTGCTCTGCGACGACTTTAGTCAGTGAGCGGTGGTTAAGGAGGTCAATCAGAGAATAAAATGCACTATATTGTGTATTAGGCAAATAAAGTTATCTTAATATATTATTAGTTTGTAAATGAATGTTTCAATAGGAAACCTGGCAAGGGATTTGCAACAGTCCTTTACACCCGAGTAGTTTGAAGCTTCATTCACAAAGTTACATTTCATATTCAAAATCAACATTTGAATGCTGCTGAGCCTTGTTTTTTTTATTCAAATATATACATACTATTATGGAATTCATTTGTGTATGCTACAGTTTCACATTGGAGATAATCACACCAATTCATACAATATAAGTTACTTAGTTCAGCGACTGTAAACAAGAGTTACAATTAGTAGACTAATTAATTAAGTGTGTGTAGTGTTATTAAGTGTTCATCTTTTGGTTCTAGACTGGAAACTTAAGAAACTGGGAGACATTTTTCTTACATCTTATAAACCCAGTGATAATAATAATTGATTAACTGATAATAAAACATATTGTCGATGCAATCCTAAAGTAACTCAATTGGATGTTATTCAATTCCAACATTAAAGTTGGTTAAAAAGGATATAAGTGTGAGGTATCCACAGAGTGTCACTGATCCACCCGAACCCATTATCCCTCGCCTGCAGCCTGTCGTATGTCCGCTGCAGCAGCCTGGTGTCTTCTTCATCCAGACCCTCCTTCCAAACACTATGAAGTATCCTCCTCTCCTCAGAGAGAGAGCGCCACCTGTCAGAAGCGATGTTAGAGTGGAGAGAACCAGTGTTTCTTTTAAGAAGTCTTCTCCGATGAAGAATTCTCCACCTCCTCTTTCGCTTCCTCCACTCCTTTCTCTTTAATAAGGATTTGTCCTTCTCTCTACTACTATTCTCCTCATCCCGGAGCCCAGGCATATTCTCCAGGCCCTGCAAAGGCCTCATTCTCACACCTGAACTGACCCACATGCTTTTCCCTTGAGCGGAGTCAGAAGAAGACTCAGAGGAGCTGCATGGTGAGGACACTGAGATGGGGGAGCCTCCGAGAGAATCGTAAAACATTGGCTGTAAGGTCGTCACCATTTTTCTCTTGTGGACTATGGATCTCCGGGGTAGGATGATGTCCCTCCCAGGGGTCTTTGGGGCTGTGATATACGGATTGCTAGAAAGGGGGCTGCTAAGATGGGGGAACATCACTGTGTTACCTTCTGACGAGGTGGTCTCTCTGCCTGGTGTAGCTGGAGCTCTCGCAGAGCTGTACTGAGTCCATGCTCGTCTATCCTCGCGACCAGGCGTTTTGGGCATATCCTGGTATAAAGGGTACAAAGCAAGTGGAGAAAAAACGACCTCGGTGGCTGTTGGAGAAAGCACTTCATTGGTAGATTCCTCACTTTCCAGTTCGGCCACTATGCCCTTGCCTGGTGTTTGGGGTCGTTCTTCCTCCACAGCGGGGGATGTGGGTTTGCTCCTCATCAGAAGGTCAGGGTCGCTGTCCACCAGGCAGCCAGTGGGAGTCAGAGGCCTCAGGTTTTCTCTGTTCCCCCGTGACATCCACTGAGGGCTCTCCATCTCTACGTCAAGATGTTGGCCCACTGCTACACAAGTATAACAATAAAATATTAGAAAAACATATTTTCACCAACATTTCTTTGGAACAAATTTCTAAAAAGGGCCCAGTGGGAAAAGGCACAAGACGTACAGGGGACCATTTGCTGAAGCGCAGGGTCCCTTGGACGCTTTGTTTAAAAGTCACATTTCTTGTTGGGAAGTCCACCAAACCACAGAGACACACAGAAGGACCTCAAAAAGAAGCAAAACAACCAAAGACACTATGAAGAGAAAATCACCAGGAAGAGAAACACTTTACCAAAAGGTGAAGCAGAAAGAAAGGGGTGCAAAATGACCACAGAGAGAAAAACAACACTCAAACTGTTCAACCTGGGAGTCCTAAAAGTGAGAGGGGCTGTAGATGGTCCGGGGGTTCGCTGGTTTGGAGCTCCATCATGTCCTCCAGACAGGACGGGAACTGGTTCTGCTCTCTTTTCTCCCAGTGATATGGATCTGGCCATTCCTGCAGCTCCAGCTCCAGCTTGGCACCAGGGGTCAGCGGGGCCGAGGGGCTGGCGGGGGGCTCAAGCTCCATCGACTCTTCATCTGACGATATGAAGATACACTCAACTCTTCTGTCGCCCTCCTCCTCCATGCCTTCATCTTCACGGCTGAGTTCAGAGTAGGACGAGTCCTCGAAGCTCTCAGAGGAGAAGGAGTCCGAGGAGTCGAAGTCTGACGAGAACTCACTGTCCTCTGAGGAGCTGCTCTCTGAGAAACTCTCTATAGTTGGACAAAAAGAACAACACATTTTTAAACATGTCATTATTCATGAGATGTTCAATGTTACAACTGTATGATATTTAACGTACCGCCATCCAAGCTCGCCACTGCTTCACTAGCTTGGAAGATGACTGCATCTTCATCTTCTGTGTGTTTCTGTGCGGACTCCTTCTCTTCCTCAGGATGATTGCTGTCCTCATCATCATCATCATCATCATCATCTCTGTCACACTACAGAAGAGCACAAGTTCAATTATCCATTCTTTCACACTTTAAAGTTGACAGCACGTGTATAACTTTGATAGATTCTAGTTGTAAGGGGAGTATGAACAACCTCTCAATTTGTTGTGACCCCTGACTGCATATTTCCAGCTGTTTATCGAAATTCATGTAAGATATTTATTTCAAGTTAGGATTCAATCAACTTGATAGCAAATAAAAACTAACAGCTGGCTTTGAGGTCTTGGCTTTTCTTTTTGCAATCTCACTATAATTTTCGGAGCAAAATGTATATTTACCAGGATTTGAGGATCATCATGAACTGGAACAACCGCCTCCAATTTATCTGATGTTGTTTCCTCATCTTGAAGTGTGTTATCTTCGTCTTTCCCTTCTTCATCATCATCATCATCATCGTCACTTTCAAGCTCATGTGGTCTTGAATGTCTGCGTTTGGCTCTCTCAGATGCCAAACTCCCTTTGTCCTCCCCCTGTTTCACATCTACATGCAAAGAGAGCAACGGACAGAATTAAGCTACAGTCTATATAAATGAGTTCATAAATTGTAAATGAGGGGTAATCGCATTAAAAGCACTCACCAGAGCTTTCATGAGTAGAACACAACACATTTTCTATCTCTTCTGACGTAACAGTATCATCTGCTCTTTTCCTTTTTACCTGCATGATGAAATGTATTTTATTTATCAAGACATGCACGCTCAGAGGTCAAACGCTGGCATATTTCACATCATATAAAGCACAATAGCATACCTTGAATGAAGGCAGTGGAGGTTTTTTGCCCTGGCCACTGATGTGACAGAGGGGATTTATAAGTTTGCTCCTTTCTTCAATACTTGTTGCTCCACTTTTCAAAGGAGAAACGTGTATCTTATGAAAGAAAAGCAATAACAATGAACATACTGTCTCTAAAAGGACACATTTATGTATTTATTCATGCTGTTTCATCAACCAATGTATGAGACGACAGATGAAAGATAAAGAACTCACCTTTACTTTCTTCTCTTGACATACCCACCAGTCCTCAAATGCCTTGAAAGCGACCCCTTCAATCATTCGGCGTGTAATATCCTTCCTAATAATCGACTTCAGTTCATCCATGATGACTTCTAAAACCTTTTCCACCGTGGCCTTATGAGGGTTTTCCCGCACAAGCAGGAAGTCTGGTGGTGGCACAAAGGGGTTAAACCTGGGGAAAGGTGGTAGAGGCCATGGAGGTCGAGGGAAATGCAAAGGAGCGGTTGGAGGATTCCCCTTATCTAAAGTGCCTGGAGGATGAACAGGTAAGGGGTACCTGTGCACAGGAGGTGGGGGTCCAAGGAAGGTTGGTGGTGGAGGAATAGAAGATGGAGGCGGAAAACCGGGAGGAGGAATAGAGATGCCGGGGTGATGGCCCCGAGGTGGGATCCAACCCGGAGGTGGGATGGGGATGGTGCCATTAGGCAGGCGAGGTGGGATAGATGGGATAGACGGGGGAAAGGGAGGAAGGGGGAAAGCGAAACGGGTGGCTGGTGGATGGGGGCACCCTGATTTAAAAGCAGGAGGAGCTTTGGAGGAGGGGGGTTGAGTGTTGCTATTGAGAGAAAAGGATGGAGGCTGAGGGAGAGGGATCTGTCTGGCTGGTGTTGAAGCTCTGAACGCTCTTTTATTCGAGTAATCCTTATTCGAGTAATCCTTATTCGAACGACGCTCCTAAGACACAAAATAATCAGTTTAAGTCGTTTTCAGGACTCTAAAATAAAACGTAGATAGCAACAACGCTAACTACTACCACTTTTGATAGTAAAATGCGTAGTTTAAACAAAACAGGAATTATCATTATCATTTAAATGATCATGAACTTATCTTTTAGGAAATTATTTTCCATTATGACCTTGGTTAAGAATGCTTGAGGAGTAATTACCTTTGAACGTGAGAATAACTGCAACCTTTCTGCCTCTTTTTCGTGGTTTACGTGAGCCCTCCTTTCAAAACGTGTGAAATCAGATGGAGGCTGAGAGTCTCTTGTTAGAAACAGAACAGCTTGAGTGGTTTCATCTGGCTCATCTTCAATGAGGTCATTGAAGGAGCGCTGATCTATCGTTGTGAAGTCACATGAAGTTGGAGTGCGAACAGGTGAGTCATCTGAGAAAGGGGAGGCGTTAGGGGAGCAAGGTGAGGTCGGGCTGTCCTGAGAGTGAACATCAGCCTCCAAAGAGTTTCTATAGAAGTAGGACGGGTCAGTACTCTGGCTGTTTATCAGCAAACTCTCAATACGAGAGTCCAAACTCTCCACCTCAGGCCTGGGGCTTGAAGAAGAGTTACCAGCAGTTTGGGGTAGTTCTGTAATGCGTGCATGGTCATTAGATGGAAAGGAAGCTGCTGTCTGATATTCAGATGTGAAATTAATGCTCAGGATACTTAAAGAGCTGGAGCTTCTATCAAAATCCTTAGAGGTAGCAGTGACCACAGCTCTGGACTCCTGACTGGGAGACTTAAAGTTAAAGGAAGCATTACTGTGATTGGGGGATTGTGCATTGTGCCCCCACAGTGCTAACTCTTGGCTGCTAGATTGTTTTGTGGTAGAATAAGATTCTGCTAGCTGGGGTTGGCATTGCCTCAAAATGAAGTTCACATCTGAGACTTCGCCGGATCCTCTGCAATACCTCTCAGTTTTACGACGCCAGAGCTCTCGTCTTAAAAGTTTGTGATCACTCAAGGTGGAGGGCTCCCCCTGGAGGACTGGAGTCGCCTGAAGACTGGAGTAGCAGGAGTCCTGGGACAGAGGAGTGGCAGACAGGCACTGGGAATGTGGTGTTAGCCTGAAGCTGCAAGGTGTATCCTGCCAAATACTGGAGTAGGCTGTGTCCAGAGAGAGGGGGGTGGCGATGCTGGTGGGACTGGAGATGCTCAGATGTGTCTGTGTGGCTGCGCTGCTCTGTAAGAGATAACAAGATAACACATGAGTTATATTGTCCATAAAAACGTATTAGTTCTACAGCTAGTTTATAAATATTGAATGTATTCGATATTCATAAACCAGAACAAAAATGAAAGCAGACCAAAACATTGACAAATCATATTCATTTCATATATATAAATCCTTTAAAAATAAATGTTCACAAAAAGAACATGGAATTATTTTTGATGTATATTAATTAGTATTAATTTAAAGTTTTTTTGATAGGACATGATTTGTCCCAATTCTCAAGAATGGGTGATATACGATTACTTCACGATTATAAATGGGTCTGTTGTGTGAGTTGTAGAAAATCAAAAATGGGTTTCATTTTTTTATTTACTGTCCTGTCTATGAAAACATGCACCTCTTAGTTAAATGACCTCAATTGATGTTGATTTTCTTTGGATGGATGACTGAAAGACCTGAGGTGTGCTTGAGGAAACAGAGCAGAGTTTACCTGCCAAGTTTGGGTGTAGAAAGCAAAAGTATAAAGTTTAAAACTAATCTGAAAAATAACCTGTGATTTTGAAAGTGAATTAAAGGTTTGACCACTGGAACTGTATCTTTGGTATCTTGTAAACCTTTGAGGGTTAAGTGCTTTGTGTGTATAGCAGGAAAATAAATAAATCAATCAATCAATCATAAGCAGCTTAAACAGTTTACCAGCAAACCCTCGACTAAGCTTTGAATAGCTTGCTCATTGCTGCCCACTGGCAGCGTCCAAGGAGTATAAAGGCCCCGTAAGAGGAGCTGGAGATATCGCGTCCTGTTTTCACCTGAGGAAGGTTGCATATTGTAATTAGTCAACAAACTCAAAGAGATTAAAATGTTTAATTACAATTCATACAAATATGAGGTAGTTCTAAAGTCAGTCTTACCTTTAGGATCAATTTCCACATGAATAACATTTCCCATCACTGAGGTCTGATGGAGGTGCTGGACAGCTTCTTTTGCAGCCCTCACTGTGTCGAAGACGACCTTTGCAATCCCCAAATGCTTCTTGTTCTTAGGATTGTAAAATATTTTGACTTCTTCGATGTCCCCATATTTATTGCACATATTAGCCAAGAACGCCTCCCTCACATTGTCATTCAGCCTGGAAAATGTCACTTCTTTGGGAGGAACGGGGCCAACATACCATTCATCAACCTGAAAGGACATAGGTAAACAAGAGCTCCCATTATTGCCATGTTTACTATTATTATAATAACTATGATGCTCATAATGAAGATTACCTTAAATTTAGAAATCAAAAGGTCAGTCTTGTTGCATTTGCTCCACAGGCGGCAGACACGGGGATCTCTGACTGTCTCTACAGGAAACAGACCTAAATCCTCCACCTGTTGAAGTAAACAACATCCATCAATATAATGTGGGGGGAGAAGTATTACGTTATTTTCATTCAATGAAAGTAGCAGTTGCACACAGAAAAGGACTCTGATACAAGTTAAAGCATTAATAACATCACTTAAATACAAAATAATCTTCAAGTTTAAAAGTGTAGTACTACTGTATCAACACACTGAGATTGGCTCTGGCTGTGTTAATTACTCATAAATTATACTATTAGATTATTGATAGGAATGCAAGCAGCATTCAAACATTGTAGCTTACTAAGGTAGTCTTGAGCTAATACTCTTTTGCTTTATTTAGAGGTTGCTTCATTTGAATAGTTTAACAATTGAATAGTATTTTACAAGAATATTTGTATTAATTTTTCTTAATGTAATCCTAATGTGCAAAGTAACAGAAACAGTAGAATCCAAATGTTAAAATGGAGTAATAAGCACAATAGAGCAATATTTACTTCTAGGTTGAAGTAGAAGTATAAAGCAGCAGAGAATTAAAAATATTAATATCGTAAATGTAAGTACGCTATATAAATTCACTTTAACCCACTTATCTATTTACATGTAGACTCCTGCATTTACTTGGTCACTTACATTCTCTGCATTATTTAGCTTGTTGTATTTATTTTTTTATTTTTCTGAGATACATATAGTTTACTTCATCTGCATTACTTGCACATTGGTCTGCAACATAATATGCAGTTTTTTATTCTAATCTATACCACTCTGTTTTTCTTGCACTATTTTTATTTAAAGAAAATCTACTGTAGCTACGTGCATATGACAATAAAGCCTTTGAATCTTGAATCTTTGATAATAGAAACAAAGGCAATGCTTGTTTTGATCAATATAGGAAACAGGCGGCCATGTGTAATAGACAACACAAATATATGTATAAATGCTCACGGGTATGTTAAATTGCTGTCCATCGTAACGATACACTTTGTACAGTCCTTTCGTCAATGCAGGGTCAATAATCAACTTGCAGCTTCTCCAGAACTGAGGCGGTGTCTCTCTCTCAGAAGTTTGTTTTTCGCTTTCCATTACATTCGTCAAAACCTGGAAATAAAAGATTATAAACACCGTATCATTTAGCATGATTAACAGAGCTGTTTACATCAGTCCGCCGCTGGAGCTTAACACGCCCCAACAGGTGATGGAGAGCATCACCTGTAACGTTATCCTTCTCAAACAGATTGTGAAATGAAACGTGATCAAATACTCAAAGTTAAGTCGACCAATAATATGCTTTATCTCGCTTACCTGTAACTACAAAGGTTATATCCTTTGGTGGAGCAACATTGTGGAAAAGCTGTTGGGATCTTCGGTTGTTTTTACAGTTCGTCGCCCAGGTGGATAGAAGATCAATCCGCCAGGAGACAGAGACGGAATATAGATCCATCGGTGAGGCGGAAGGATTTAGATGGGTTGAAGGTGTGAACAGGTGTGAGGTGTGTTTCTATAAACCTTAATAATACATGTTTATAATTATAATATTAATAAGTTATGAATACAGCCTATGACTTACTAACAATCAAACACAAATCGAATAATATGACAAAATATAAAAAGTTAATGTAAAATATAAATGTTAATCAGATGTAAATCAGGGGACTCTGAATAGAGCATGATAAATGGATCATTCATTTAAAGTTTAAAGAAAGTATTGAGTATTACACATTGTCAGTGTAATGGCATTAATAATCCAGTTATAAAACATAATTACAGAGATGTTTTTTGTGAAAATGTATAACTGATCCCACAATAATAAGAAAGAGCATAAATAAATAAAAAGTGTCTACAAGCATTCTTATGTATTATTCATTGTATTCTTATCTTGTTTGTATTGCTTGATTGTGCTTTTCCTCAAGTATGCAAAGCTTCTTTGGTAATGATGACTAGGGCTATATAAATCTGATGTATTCTTTTTGACTTTTTTTTTTTAATAGTGACTATTAATGTGTAATCATTGGATATAACAAATATTTTTTTCACAATATTTCTTTTGGGAGTAAACTCTATTGTAACAGGGAGAAGAGAACAGAAGAAGGAAAATCGGGTTGGAAAATCGATTCTGTGCTATATTTAGCACAGGCGAATGCAGGGAAGATGTGGACTACTTGTTCAAAGAAACAACAAAACGTGCACCAATAGAGAAAGGATTGTCGGAAAAAGTCAGCAAGCGTAGGAGTTTGTGTGCTTTGTTATAATGCAGTCATGCTTTGACTGAGTGACAGCTATCTCAAACTGTAAGTGCAGACTTCCTGTGTGGTTTTCCTTTTAGTTTTTCATAGACCAAAATGCCATTTATGCAATACATGTCTATAGTTTTCCTTATTTGTTTTATCCAGGCATTACTGTAAATGTAAAAAACTGTATTAAAAAAATTCAAACAAAACTCAAATTATCACAGATGTGTTTTATTCCCGAACCGGCAACAAAAACAAAGTCCTGCTGACTCAAGTTTAAAACACCAGATATATGCAAAACTTACAATACAGTATTTGCTGAAAGAAAAATCCCTTTAAAGCATCAACTCAAACAGTGGAACCTCTCGACTGTATATACATTAATATGGATTAAATAAATCAACCAGCAGAAGAAAAGGCCTAGACTTGCATTGCTCTGTGGTAATTCCTTTCAGAAGTGTCCAGAGAGTGAGAGGTGGATCAAACCTTCTTTATATATTTATTTGTGTGAAATAAACATCAACAGTGATCTTTAGAAAGGTAACAACCATTTTTCTAAACGTGTGTGTCAGTGATTGACCCCTTTTGGATTCTAGCTCTCTGCTTTGTGTCACCAAGATATTATTATCAGGTGGAAACAATTTCAATGCAAATATTGGAGCGCTAGTGATCGACAGAAACACAACCATGACTCAGCACAAACCACCTTTAGATACATGGGATAACAATGACCAGAGTTACCGTGGTGTAATATCAGTATTTTACAGTTGAGCAATAGTATTATGAACAAAATCAATTGTCGTCCAGCAGCTACAAATATTTGCATATTTCTTCATTTAAGCACTTACTGTGTTTTCGTACCAGTGTTACAGTAGATATAATAAAGAAAGTATAGAAAATGGTCAAACCCATGTAAAACTATTCAACAATGTGCCACAGGTCAAAGGCCCCACACGCTAATTCAGACAATCTGTAACCTAAACAACGTGTGCACACACTCAAGTTTGTAAACTATTCAAAGTAAAAAACATACAAACTCTAAAACAACAGTTCCAATATGTGCATGCTTTGTAACAATACATTCAACAATACTTCTAAAGCTAGTTACCATTTATGGATAACAGCATGTTCGCAAAAGCAGCAGGAAATCAAGAAAACTCATCATATTTTGTACCCTACATTTATTCTGCTATTTATTGTGCTACAGAAATATGTGTACTGCAATAACACCCTTTATTCAGAAGTGGAATTTTGGCTCAGATTACACACAAATACTGTTGGGTTGATTTATACTGTAACTATTTGTTTTGTAAAAGATCTTAACTGCTTTTTGCTCAAATCTTAAGACTCCAATGCAAACTGATTTTCGAAGCTAGTTTAGCAAATTGTAACATGTACATTGTTCAAGACTAAAACATGTAGTAAAGTTCCTACACGATTCTTATGCATGTATTGTATTATATGATTATACTTACTCATTAAACAACCAATTAGTCCAATGAGTATGAATGTTTGCATATAAAAAAACGTTTTAAAACATGCAAGTTGTTCTATAATTTCGGATTTAAAGCATGTATACAGTGATTCAAATCAAACTGATATTTCAGTCAGATAACTCAAACCTTGATTTTGAACGTCTGCATTGAAAATAAAGGTCTGGTAATGCTCTCTACAAAGCCTCATTTAAAGCCAGACAAATGTGAGAACATGTGAAATCAATGCAACCCACCATGGGACAATATAAAGGCCACAGGTGCATGCAGCAGTGGTGGTGAGTCACTAGTGTGTCTGCCCGCAGCAGCACAGATTAAACCGTGGCAGCTCAAATAGACCATTAAAAGGAGCAGGACTATCATTTTATACCAGGCTTCAACAAAGGCTTTTGTTTCACATGAATATTGAAAGAAAAGCGGCAAGGTTCAAGAGGTTTGATCCATCCCCTGCTGTCAACATGTCTTTGGGCAAGATACATCACCCTGAAATGCTCCTGTAGGCATGTCTACAGTACTGAAGTGTTTGGATGTTGCTTTGGACAAAAGCGTCAACTAAACGTTAGGAAATATAAAAACAAGGAAGTACACCTTTAATTTGTGCACAGTTATACCTAACAAATAAAGCTTTTATAAGAGAATTTCACAATAAAGGCATTGTTGAATGTCTGCTGCTGTAGCGTGCTTACTGGCTTTGATCAAGGATAGTGGATAGTGGCCTTCAGGTCGTCGTTCTCACCCCGATGGTCCAGCTGGCTCTGGAGCTGGATGACCTGCTCCAGCTCTTTGATCTGCCGGTCCGTTTTGTGACTGACCAGAGTGCGGTAAAAGTGGACGGCGAACATGATAAAAACGAGTCCAAACGGCACCATGATGCAGGTGGAAGCGATGGCTGCAGCCTGCCCTGAACTTATAGTGCTGTTCTTCTCGTCGAGGCTTCTGAGGGGTAAGAACTTCACCCAGCACAAGAGCATCACCTCTGTGAGGAAGAGGAGGGTGCCGATGACTGTGGAGAAAGCCCAGGCCAACTCTATGTGGCGATGCATGCGCTCGTGGGGAGACTCGTGGACGGAGTTGAGGTTGTGAACATTGCTGACAGCCTCGAGATTCGGGAGGATGCAAGTGCTGACCATGAGGGCGAAGAGGTGGACTGCAACCAGGACTGTGGTGCAGGCACTGAAGGCTATCAGCAGCCCGGGGGGGTACTTAAATTCCGGCTCCAGCTGTACCTCCACCATGGCAACCTTGGAAAATCATACAAGAACAATTTATCTTCTCCAATTGATATCTTCATCAGTGAGTAACACAATAGACATGGCTATCAGTTATATTGCTCTACATGTTTTACTTAAAAAGTCTAACATAGACAACTCTAACCACTGCTTTCTCTTCCCACACAGCAAACACAGACAGCTGCGTATGTGGATAGAATATAATGTAAAATACAAGTATTTTTAGATGTTGTTCTTGTTCGGAATTGGACCTATTAGTAGTGTGTGGACAAAAGAGTAAACGCAGACTTTACAATAAAGAGATGTACGGGCCCCTGAATGTCATAAGAGCAGGACAACTAAGTAACTGTAACTGCATTGCTTAAATACAGATTTGTAAATCAATCATACCATTATACGAGCCACATATAAGCTGAAGAGGAGCATGGGTTATAGTTGTATGCAGTATTGGTGTAGCTTGAGACAAATTTACATTTTGCCAAAGAAAATACGATTTAACATTAACAAAAACAAATTAACAAGTGTCGAAACACTTTAACATTTCCCGAAACACTTTAACATTTGCCGAAACAAAATAGAGAATCATACCGGAAAGGGAATGCCCATCATACCAGAAGCGACGTGCCAGTGATTGACACAAACTTAAGTTTGTTTTGGCTGATAGACCGCCGGTACCTATGGACCTTTATGGTCGTTAAACATGTTTTGTCCGTACGGTTTTGCTCATCGCGATATACTTTCTCGTGCGCAAGAGATACGTTCTCGTGCACACAAGAAAGTTACAGGTTCGCCAAGTAGGAAGTGGAGCTGTGCCTTTTACACACCGCCTTCGCTGTGTTTGACCTTCATTAGACAGATAAAGAACGACTACAGGCTGCTTCCACACACACACACACACACACACACACACACACACACACACACACACACA